GGGAGATGGTGGGGAATGCTAGGAACTTTGTGGCTGAAATCCTAGCCCTCTGACCTTGAAGCATCTCACTCAAGATGGTAAGAAAATGCCTCTGTCTACTGGGAACCCAGAGCTACAGCAGTACCTGAAGACAACTGCATGTGTCTCTTCTTTGAAGGAATTAAGCACAGCTCACTTAAACAAACAAAAAGATCCCAACAACAATAAATGAAAACCCCACTTGGCTGCAGGAAGTGGTGACATGTATTTCCTGTGATACTCTAGTGATTGGAAAATGTGCTCAGAAGCAGAGAGAAAATCCAGTTCCTTCAGTGACTGGAGTGCCTTTAAACCCCTTCCTCCACCTGCCTGGAACAGTACCCGGTGTCAGGCTATCATGGACAGAGAGGTCAGCCTTCCTGCGTTGTGTCCTTGCAGAGACACAGGACTGCTTGGGCTAGAGAGAGAACACAGGAGGAGCATGGCTGCAGTTTAGTTGTTGAAGTGTTTGTCTCTGCGAGGAAAGAACAGGGCCTGGCCTCTGAGATGTTGCAGGAAGTGGAACTGAGATGCTCATTTCTCTAGCCGAACATTTAGCACGTGGACGTGCTCTGTCTTGTGTCTTCTCTAGTTGAAAGAGTTTTGGTTCCTTCCTGTGGGGTGATACCATTTCAATGAGTGAGTTAGAGGTCATGCCTCAGGATTGGGGCACTGGGGAAAGGAGGAATGTCTTAGGAACGAGGAGAAATTTATGTAGGCTTCCCCACTTCACCCTTGAAGTTCCAGGCATTTGCGTGCTTGTGAGCAGCTATTTTATGGCAAGTGCAGCTGAGGGCTCTTTGGGGGTCTTTGCCCTGGGGGTTCCCGAAGGGTCCCTGCCAGGCTGAAGTCTGAGGGAGAGTGGTTCCCACATCCTGACCCATGTACATGGGGCACAGTTCAGTGTCCTGGAAATGTTATGGTCCCAGTGTCTTGATACTGGGAGCATCTTCAGTGTGTAAGGTGGCAGCTGTCTCTTCAGTATCACAGTTTTAGATACATCTGGAATTTAGATAACTAGTTTATTTAGTTTTATCTGTATTCAGCTGGGTGAAGGTTTGATCTAGGTAGTCTAGCCTCTGCTGCTGCCCTTCAAGTGGTGAGCAAGACAAAGTCTGCAAGGCAAAAGACTGGAAGGATTTTAAGGTGCTGAGGGCCTGTCTCCCCTTTCACAAACCATGTGTTTCTTTTCATCAGCATGAAGTGGGTGCAAAACTTAGTTGCTTGGAAAGTCCCTCCCTGGAGTGTGAGTGGTTTTCTAGAGATGCAGACAAGGAGAATCATGCTCTCAGTTTTCGAGGATTTAAGCTGCTCCATATAATTTGTCACTGATAGTTGAGACTAGTGAAGAACTGGAGTCTTTAAAGGATTGTCTAGGACCAAACTTCCATTTAAGAAACATGTCTAAGCTAAAGCCTGTTGATGTTCAGGAAATGCAATAGGGCATCTTTTCCTCAGCTTTTTACTACCTGGAAGTTTGAATGCCCTCCACGTTTAGCCAGCCAGGAAAAAATTCCCATTTCTATCCTGATAAAGTTTCAGTGTTACCAGGGAATAGTTACTGCTTGTAATCCAAGCCATATAAAGTGTTGCTATGGATGTAGGTATTGTATAAATGCCTGTAATAAATAATGGAATACATGAACTTTACTATGGCACCTGTACGTTACAGCACTGTCTTGTGATCGTAGGTTATCTTAGATATGCTTGTAGAGCTAAGGCTGCTCAAGGACTTGAGAAGGGGAACAGAATTTTTGTAGGCTCAGCCCGATCTTGTGACATGCTTTTTCACTTTCTGTTACATTCAGAAGACGCTTAGAAGGAAGAGCTCTTGCAACAGCAGTCTGTTGAGCTTCCTGGAACACCTGCGTCTGAGTATACTCCCTTCAAAACAATACAACCTGTTCTCTGTTAAGCAAGTTTTCCCCTAAAACTGTAAAGGCAAACTGAAAATTTCCACATCGTGTTGGAGTGTTGCTGCCTCTTCTATGAACTGATAAAGGAGTTCCCTTGCTTTGGCAAGGATTTTAACATAGGAAAGAGACAGGCCAAGATACATCAGGGCCTGTTTCTCTTTCATTTGAGTGTCAGTTTTGTTTCATACTAGTATTTTCTCTTCTTTCCTTCCTACCCTGCATGCACCAGGTATATTCAGTGCTTCTATGCCCCATCTTTGAGTTTGGAGTGGAGTTGCTTAGAAGTTTAATCATTTCCCGAAAGCAGGAGGTGAAGACTGCAGCATTTTTCAGAGGTTAGAGCCAGGTGGGAAGTGATCTGAAGTAGGAACTGTGTCTATTATTGTACTGGAGCAATCTGAAAGTACTTGGCAATAATGACTGCATTGACTCTGGTAGGTTAAATATGCCCAGGACTGTTTGCTGGCACTGGGGCCAGCTGGCAGAGGGTGACACATGCCACAACATAAAATTTATCTTCCAAGCAGGGCAGCTGCATAGCAGGAATTGAACTGCAAATCAGGAGTGATTCCTGAGCTGACTCCTGAACCATGCCTGGGAGTTGTTTGTATGAGTGTGAGTTGGCTAATACTATGCTGGGAACTACATTAATAATTTAGCAGAATAAATGAGCACTTTCCAGTTCAGGGAAACATTTCTTTGCACTGTTATTTACTGTTGTAGACTTAGCTCAAGTGTTAGACAGATCTTGAGCAGGAAGAAGGATTTAGAAATATGCTGTGAGTTTTACTGACGTGCTGCAATGTGACCTGAGCCCAGCTGGATTTGTCCATGCTCCTAGCAAACAGCAGCTGAGTTACTCCAGTGTCTCTAGCAGCAAACACAGTGTGTCCACCTACAAGCAGGTGGTTTAAGAGAGGCAGACTGAGTTCAAAGGAATAGGGTATTTTATTCAGCATCTGCCCTTTCAGTACGGTGTCTTCTTTCTTCACTGATCTTGATTGATCATAGGGACATGCACACTTGCAACATGCAGTCTGTCCACCTTCAGGGCATTAAAGCTTTTGCTAGATTGTACCAGTCAGGTGATTAAGCAAGCATGATAATATCAAGCTGCTTTTCAATGTTCAGGCCAACCCAACTCAAGAAACCCTTAAAACTTGCTATCAGGAATGACATCAGTCACACAGGCTTAGGAAATGAGGACAGAGCTGTTGGGAAGAGTAACAGCATACTGAAAGGGAAAAGATGTGAGAGGAGGGTGGGGGGAGATTTGGGAGTCCTGGGGTAAATGATGCCCCTGGGCTTGTTTTCTTTCTTTCCAGCATCTTCAGCCACCACCTGTAGCTCTGAAGCTGCTGCTGGATGGTGGGGAGAGAAGTTAGTGCTAGAAAAGCGCCTGGTTGTTCCTGTTACTCTGTCTTTTTGTCTTCCTGTAGCCAGCTGAGAAGCTGAGCTAAGAATTGATGTGCTTCCCAAAGGATGCTTGTCTGGGAATGGATCTAGGTCCCTTTTTCCATAACAATACTAAAAGGAAAAGTGCTTTAAGTAACTTAACATTGTATTTCAACCTATTCTCTGTTCTGCAGTCAGGCAAGGTAGCACCAACCCTTCTAACTCGCTGTAGTTAACCCTTGCTGACATCTACAGCACGGGCTACATTTGAACAACTTTTTAAATTTAAGGATAATTTTTTGTGTATCTGTTTTCAGCAGCTAAGGAATAACCTTCTATTACATTTTTCTCTGGCAGGAATTAAGCAGCTGCACAATCCAGTCCCTTATGTGATTTCTAATTCTTCCTTTCTAAAGAGCTACTGCCAAAGCAACGACCAAAAAAGGTCAGCATCTTCTCAAAATGGTAATGAACAAGCAGGAGAAGGGGGAGGAAAGTGGCCTTTTCAAAAGGGACAATTCTTGATAGGTGCTCTTGATTTTCCACACACACAATTTTCTGCTGGCAGGTGAACTTTTTAAAATGAAAAAACCACAGAAAAAGACCACTAACCTTTAATTTCCCGTAGTTAAACCTGTAACTCTCTCTCTACCCATGAGCGGGAACTTGTGGAGCCAGAGGATACCCACAGTGCCACAAATCTCCTTTTTCTCTAACAAATAATTCTTGTCCTCCCTTCCAAACAGACATGGGGGCTGAACAAAAATCAACAATTTTATTTCAGTGGGGCTAGAGAGTTTCATTGCTCTTCAGTTTGTACCCTCTGTCCGACTGTGTTTCTGTCACTTACATTTGTGCATGACTGTACAAGTAGTTATTTCTAAAATAAATGCCTTTTACATCTGTCTTGTTTTTGTTAGATGTTCAACAGCTCCAAAAGCAAAAGCTGTCTGGCAGTCAGCCTGCTTATTTTTTAGTGTTTATGTAAAATCTCTCACCATGGCATTCAATACCACTGCAAAAGTTGTATTAAACTGTATTTTTGATAACATCTACAGGTGTGCACTTGTCTAGTGGGTACTGAGTGATACGGCAGCTTGGCTGTAACATCCCAGAGGGGAGGATAAAGTTCTGCCTTTGACCCCGTGAAGTATCTGGCCCTGGTTTGTCTGGGAAGGAACCAGGCAGATCTGCAGCCAGAACCAGCTTCCCCTGCTGCAATATTTATTCCCTGGATGAGTGCATTAGGAAAGGGGGAGAACCATAATTTACCTTTAAATCTGCTGCAGACATCACATTTCAGAGACAGTGCTTCAATGAACTGCAAGGTTTTTAAAGAAGTTGGCATCAAAACCAGAAACAAGGACGATGTCGACATGTTTTACTACTGGATTTAACACATACTTCCTCCCTACCCAAAGCTGTTGATCAGCTGTTTCCCTCCACTACAAAATACAGCCCTGTGGCCTTCACAGTTTGCTTACAGCACAAATAAATAACCTGTTGGAAAAGAATATTTTTGTTTCTTTAAAGAGCTAAACTGGGCTCTAAGTGGTACCAACGAAGCAGACAGCTGCTATAGAGGAAACCGCTAAAATCCACTGCAACTGTTCCTGCCGGTATATAACAATGAGCATATCTTAACAGAAAATAAAGTGAAACAGTTATTAATAATAGAAACCTCTGAAACTTATTCAATAGGATGTTACTTATTTGCAAAACCTAGGTTTGTTTTAATTAGAAATAACACTATTTCCTACTTGTCCTTTTTTTTTTCTCTAACAATTACTCTACCACCTTTGTTGTCCTGCAGCCAGCTCCCTGACTTCCCTCCCTCACTGCATGAGATCCTGATGGGGCCAAAGACTCTGTGCAGAGCCAGACACTGTGAGCCACAGTTTGTCCCTGTTGCTAGCAAGATCGGAAAAGAAATCACAGCCTGCTTGCTAGCTCTGTGCAAAAGAGTTTTCCAGTGCAATGATGCCCTGAGGGAAAAAGAAAGGGTAGAAACTGGTGTTTGGTGCTGCCCACGCATCTCATGAGTCACAGATGGGTAGGAACTGGCGGACAGATCCAGAAGAGTCCAGCATGCTCTGCCCTTGGACGGGGCACGCATCAAGTCTGTGCAGTGTGGTGGTGCTGGCAGGGACCTGCTCCATCTCAGCCCTGCTCCTGTGTTCCCAGGCTGGACTTCAGGAGTCCCTTCGGTGCTTCTTCTGTTCGTGGTACTCTGTTATTTTCTGCTGGAAATATGCTGTGGATGAGAAAAGATTGTTAGTGAAATGCAGGCGTTCAGGCTGGGGAGGATACAGAGCTGCACAGCCCGAGTCCTGGGGAGTGCATATGCACCCTGGGAGCCAAACCATGCCGGGTTGTGGACAACTGCACCCAGGTGAGGACCCAGGTGAAATTGAGGTTGTTGCAATTCCACCCATCCCTCTCACCTACCTGAAATGGGCTTTATTATGCTGGGCTAGTGTAAGTTTTTAACCCACACACTCACTCCTGTTCAGTTTTTGTGTTTCCTTTCCAACCAGCAAGGAAGAGAGAAAGCAGGAGACCCTAGGAATGCGAATAGCCAAAAAGGTGACATAGACTGGGAATATAATGAGAAAGCTGGGATTGTGCCATCCCTCTCTGCCAGTACCAGGCAGACCGAGGTCCCCTGTCTGCCCTATAAAGTCTGACCTAAAAGGGCGGAGAAAGCAGGAACCGAGGCAGAGCCAGGCCCCGAGTCCCCCAGACAGGCTGCAGACCAGCCGGAGAGGGACCCACCACGGGCACCATGTGCTGCTGGCTGCCATGTGGTGCGTCCGAGGGAATGTCTGCTCCAATGCGGCAGTCGCTGATAGAGTGCAAGGACTGCACTCTCTCTGAGGGCAGCAAGACCTTGGGGGGGGCATGCCCTAGGCCAGGATGTCTCTGGCCACTGATAGATGTTTTGGGTGGTCTCCTCAACCTTCATCACGCCTGTTTGTCCTCATCATGGGCTAGGAGGAGGCTCAGCTCTGCCCAGTGCCCTGTAAATCCCCTGGAAGGGGAAAGGACCAACCCAGCCACCACGGGTCTGTGCCGGGGCCGGTGGCAGAGATGAGTCAGGGCTCACAGGCAGCACAGCCAGGCTCCCAGCTGCTGCCTGTGTCCAAGCCAAATATTTGCGCAGCTACTGGCATGTTTGCCTAAAAACACTGGGCTCTCAGTAAGCCTGCCCCATCCCCAGTCAAGCGACAAGATCTGAAATGAGCCCAGGGATTTTTTTTGATTGTTTGACAGGGACAGAGAAATGCAGCTGTTGAGAGCAAATGGGTGCTACTCGCTGCCCTGAGCATCCTCAGCCTAGAGCTGCATTCCTCTCCGGGCATGGGGCATCTCTTTCCCTTAACCAAATAGCCCAGGACTTTGCAAAACTCATGTGACCAGAGAGGGAAGGAGACACAGGGCTGTTTACCTTCCTGTGGGATCCTGCTCTTTTCTGCCTCCTCAATAAATAGGGAAAACATGTTCGTCTTCACAAACTTCTTCACAAACTTGCGGTTGGTCTTGGAGGTGATGGCTTTGCAGAATGCTCGCTCCTGGAAGATGCCCGAGCCGTTTTTACTCCACTTGATGTGTGAGGCGTAGTGGCCAACCATTCGGACGAAGAATTGCACGAAGGCTTCGGAGACGACTGTGTTCACCTGCTCGGATGCTGGAAGAGGACACAGAGCATGAGAGGTGGGGTTTGGACCTCTGAACATGGAAAGGATGGTCTTATTTTAACTTAGCCCGTTCACAGTCTGTGTTTGCATTCCAAGAAATTTATTTCTTAAAACCTCCCTCTGACAGTAAACAAAGATCAGACTAATTTTGCTGACAGAGCATTGGCTGGTTTGGCTTTCCAGAGTGGTGGCGTCTTTGTGGGCCAAATATTGGCAAAAGCTGATTTTTTTCAGGAGAAGTAGTTGCTCCTGCTCTCATGTTTCGCAGGAGAGGGTAAAGGCCAAGGGATTTCCCTCCCGTGGCTGCATTTTGTTGCAAATTGGAGCAGAAACATCTCAGGCCAGGTCCCTTTAGGAAAATAATTTTGCTAAGGACTCTGGCCATCTGCAGAGGGCAGCTTGTGCGTGTTTTACCATATATAAAGAGACATCCTTACTATGTATGTTGTTGTTGTTGTTGTGCCTGTTCAGAGATGTCAGCATCTCGTTCTGCAGCTTGATGGGCAAGATCTCCTCCTCATCACCGACCTGGAAGGCAAAGGGGCCGTGAAGCACCTGGCACCAGTGGGAATCTGGCTCAGATGGCAGCGGGCAGCACTTAGTGCAGCCCATCAGTTGGGATTTCTGCAGAGTTCATTAATTAATTATCATTGCAGAGTGCTGCAGTGATGCTGGGAGTGGGATGCCAAACGCACAGCCACTGCTGCTCTGGCTCACCACAAGATGGATGCAGTGGCTGGAGACATCCTTTCATGGGACATTCCCCCTGGATGGGTGACACTGAGATATCTCTGCCCCCAAAATGTGAAAGCTGCCAGGTATGTGGCACTGAGGGAGAAAGGTGCCCTTCCTGGGGCTACCCAGGCCAGGCAAGCCCACCCCCAGCCCCACACTGCATGGGGGGACCTACCGCCCGGAGGATCTTCCCTTCACAGAGATCCACTATCAGAGCCTGAAAGAGAGCAGATAGCACCCAGGTTTAGCCCTACTAAGGCATGTGGGCTTCCTCCCACCCATTTTGGGATCAGGCCGGTGTGTCTGCAGCCCACGAGGGTGGTGGGAGAGGGATCAGTCCCTGTGGGCTGGGGGCACCTGGGCAGGGGGACCAGGGCATCCCCCCAGGGACCATGTTTGCTGCAGGCTGAGTGGCTTGTCCCCACACAGCTTTTCTCCACTTCTGCAAGGTTGGGATGATGCCAACAGCCAGCCTGGCCAACAGCAGCTCCGTGAGCCCCCAGGGTCAGGGGTGCAGGTCCTGGGGTGGCCAGAAGCACCCAGGAGCACGTGGAGCTGTTGCCCCAGGTGCCAACAGGAGGGCACATGCAAGAAGCCCCAATCCCCAGCCTCCCTGGATGGGAAAAGGGCACAACCAGAGCCTCCAGTCCCAGAGCCAGCCCAAACCCAGGGTCACAGACTAACCAAAGGCTCCGTCCAGATATTTTCCCCCACCCAGATAAAATACCTCCTCCATCGGCTGGTCCAGGACCCGCTCCAGGTGCCGCATCTGGATGCCGACCATGAAGGGTGTGGGGCAGCAGACGGTGTCGAGCAGGCACTCGGGGACCACGGGGATGTAGGTGTGAGCCCAGGTGAAGGGGTAGAGGAGAGCAGCCACCGCATGGATGCACTGCGACAGGACGCTGCAGGACAAGGAGCCATCATGGTGGCATTGCATGAGGAAAGGGAACTTCACTGCTCAGAGAGAGCGTCCCACCCTGAGCTCAGCTGCATCCTGCACTCCTTCAAGAGGTTTTTATGTGGTTTTTTGTTTGTTTTTTTAAATAAACAGATCAGGACTCACCTCAGCTCCTCTGCCAGGAAAATGAGCCGTCGCTCCAACACGGCAGAGGCAAAGATGTGCAGGATGAGGTGGGGGCTGAGCCGCTGGAGCAGAGCCTGAAACTCCACGTGCTCCAGGTGGGCGTCCACAGGCCGCGTGAGCTCAATGAGCTGCCAAGGGAGAGCCACCAAAGCCTGGCTTAGGAGGTGCAGTGCTTCTCCCCACCATCACCCTGGCCCCCCAAGAGGGTGATTTGGGAGCAATTAACAACCCAGAGTTTGCAGCATCTGCATCATGTCCCTCTGTAAGGGACAAACTTCATCTTGTCCTGCCTGGAGATGTGGGCTGTGCAGTGCTGAGGATGCAGGGGAAGCCAGTGGTGATTTGTGCACTGTGGGGTTTATTTACTGGGGCACTGAATTTTTAACCAAAATGCCTCTTTTCTCTAGCACTCACAAGGAAAGGCTTTCCTGTTGCCCAGGAAAGGGAGGAGGGATGAGGGTGTGACTTTTGCTATAAAAACCACAAAAACTTCCTCAAAAGCCTCTCTGGGAGGGCCAGCTCACCTCATCCTAGCTAGCATGGCCCAAAAGTGAATTATCTAATGGATATTTGCAGGGGGTCTGTCTATTCTGCTGGCTTTGCCCCAGACAAGCGTCTCCCAAACCTGGTCGATACCTCTGCCCTGCTGCAGGCAGCCCCGAGACGGTGACTGCTGAAGGGTTAACAGGACCGTGCAGCTCATGACACAGTCCTGGCCCCTCTCCCCAGCTTTACAGGGCAGGGGGAAATCCCCCTCCTCCATGTGCCAAGCTGCCTTTCCAGCAAAGCAGCATCTTCTCAGCCAGCAGCATAGGGCTTGGCTGGGCTCCACAGCCCCTTTTCAGCACAAATCCTGCACGATCCCCAGCTCCCAACCCATGCAGTACTCAGAATTTATTTTCACGCCTTTCCCTGTTTTCTCACTGATCTCCTCAACTTGCTCCAGCCCCTGCCTGGAGCCCCAAAGCGCAGCTCTTTCGAAGAATGTCCTTGTATATCCTCCTTCCCCAGTCACCCCCAGCCACGCTCCCTGCAGCCTGGCCTACAGCCAGAGCATTGAGCAACCTGCAAAGCCAAGGCACAAGCCTTCCTGGATGAAGAAATCTCTTGTAATTTGATAGCCAGCTGTTCAATTGCACTAGAGAGGAGGGATCTTGTCCTCAGACCCACGCTGGCAGAATGCATCCCTGGGATGCTCAGCTCTCTGGTTATTTTGCCAGGTGCCAGGGCACATCCTCCCCCTTTTACCACCCCAGCTTTGACACAAGAGAAAGAAAAATCAAAAGAAAAGGCTCTGCCTGTGCAAGCCTGGGCCGTATGTGGGCGAGATGAGCCCTGTGGGCACCATGCCAGTATCAGATCTCCTTTCCACAGGTAAAGGCCAAATTTGCTGCATGCCTGCGCCGCAGCAGCTTCCTGCCTGTGACGCTAAACTGGGGCGGGTGTCAAGGCTGAGAGCCGAGCACTGTGGTGCGGAGGGGAAGCTGCAGCCTGTGACACCCCGTGACAGCCCTGGCACCACCACACACCCCAACAGCCCTGCGTGCTGCACCTGGAGGTGTGAACACCAGCTCACAAGTGGGGTGCAGCCAGCCCCGCTCCACGGCCCCCTGCATGACACACCGCTCTGACGTAAAGGCTGTGCAAGCACCAACATGTTAAGAAATGGCGTCCGGGAAGGTTTTGTGCTGCAGGTCCAGCATGAGGCTGATGGAGTTGCAAAGATGCTGCTTTGCAGGGATGCAAAGATGGGGCAGCATTGCCTGTGGATTAGCTCCATCCTCATCCTCACTGCTTGCTGCTCTCCTCCTGCACCAGGAGGGAGATGGCACCCATTTCCCCAGGGCACGAGGCCCCTGGCAGCCTGACCCACCACCCACTGCTCCAGCAAGCACCCATGGGTGCTGCAGGTGTGGAAGATGCTCCCAGAGGTGGCCTGGGCTCTCCATGCTGGAGCAGTCCAGGAGGTGCCGCTGAGCCCTCGAGACCCCCACCAACCTCTGTGCCTGACTCAGGGATGAAGCTTTTAATGGTGACGGTTTTCCCTGGAGCTGGGAAGGGTGATTCCCGAAGGCCCTGCATGAAGGGGTAAATCACCGCCATGGAGATCTGGCGTCTCTTCTCCACCTCGTCCAAGATCTGGGGGACAAAAAAGTGAGCTGTGAAACCCTGGCAGGTAACGGAGTGGCTGCCTGGGCCACTACCGTGCCAGACGGAGCCACCACATCCCTACCTTGGAGAAGAGCCCAAAGCAGCCCAGGCAGCTGATGATGCAGAAGACCTCAGGGAGGCGGACACCACGGCCAGATGGCTGGAAGAGGATAGGAAAAGGCTTTGAGCATCTCCCAGCCCCGCTGCACCAGCTCCACACCCTCCTCAGAGATCCTCCCTGGCCCCACTCACTCCCCCACCCCAAGATGCCAAATCACCCACTGGATTTTCAGAGCTGGGGCTCAGGCCCAGTTGATGCTGTAAAAGCAGAGGGTGCCCAGGACCAGGAGAAGGCAATTCAGATGCCAAAGTTGTTTATTGTTTTGGTGCAAAACCTTTTGGCATATTCCCAAACTTTCCTCGCCCCAGACATGTGTCCTCTGAGACCTCCTGCCCCAACACCCTCGGGGCTAATCCTGCCTCCTACTGAAACAGGGACCAGTGGGATGAGCATCCAGGCTGTTTTTCCCTTTCCAACTGGATTATCCTGGGTCTTTTTGCTCTCTGCACTTTCAGCCCTCCAGACATGCAGTTCAAACAGCCAGAGCTCAGCCCTGGATGCAGAAGTGGGCAGGTTTGCCAGGGAATGAAATGGTGGTGGCATCCAGCAAGTCACCAAGCCTTGGCGTATGGCTCCATGGCTTTATGTCCCCATTTAAGCAGGCTGTGCGTAAATCAGCAGCCAAAGACGACCTCCATTGCTCCTCGCAGCCCCCAAGCTGGCCAAATCCATGAGCCGAGAAAGGCAGCCACTGCTCAGAAGCAATTTTTGGGGACGGGGCTGAGGGCACCTGGCTCCTTGGCACCTGGATGGGTGCACGCGCATCACCATCCTGATCCCGAGTGGGATTTGCAGCCATCCTGACCTCTGCGACCAAGGGAAAGGAGATTGGTGGGGAGGCAGTGACCACTGATACAGGGAACGGCACCTCCCAACCCTTACATCTCCTGGTTGCATTTCAGGCCAGCCCTGGTCTACAGCAAACACTGCTTGCCTCCATCCAGCATCCAACTGATGCCCCAGCAGAAGAAAGCTCTAAAGAAATCCCTTTGGGCATGCCCTTGCTGCTTTTCATCATCTTGCCAAGACAAATGGCTTTCTAAGGCACGTCCCCAAGAGCTGTACTTTGGGCATGGCACCCCCACCATGGGGATGAGGTGACATGGCTACCGCCAACCCAGCGATGGGCGTACGGGCAGTGGGATGCTCACCAGCAGCCGCCTGCAGTAGCCGATCTTCCTGCTGCCGTCCACATTGGTCAGGACGAAAGAAAAGGTTTCGCTGCAAGGAGAGACAACACATGGGAACAGGACAGCTCTTCCAGCCCACAGCCCTCAGGGGTGTGATGGCATGGGGTGGGAAACCATGGCTGAGACCCCACAGCGGGGCAGGTACCTGGTGAACTCAGTGACAGGGGCCCAGTTGTTGCCATCTGGGAAGCAGAAGAGGGGGATGGCTTGCAAGAGACGTTCCTCCTCCTCCTTCTGGCCCTTCAGCAAGTTCTCACGCTGGAACAAAGCCATGACAAGAGTCAGGGTGATGGAGGGTGACCATAGCCCCAGGGGGTGGGGTGGGGTGGGGTAGGTCACAAAGCAACACCCAGCTCAGACCGAAGCAGAGGGCGCCCACACATCCCTGGACAAGCATCTCCTAAAAATCCCATTTTTGACTCTTTTACTCCAGGGATAGCGGGGCAAAGCAGAGGCACCCAAGAGCGCCTCTGCAAACAGGGGCTCTCCTCCTGTGCCATTTCCCCAAGGTGTAATTTCACTGCCATGGTCTCCCCTTTTGGGACAGGAAACCAGGGAGCACCCCTGGGGTTTGTGGCCCTGGGCTTGGACTGCAGGGAGGGACAGACGATCCCAGCAACCCCAACCCACGAAGGCAAAGCCCTGGGGTTTGAGTCTGTGACTCAAGGGCATGGGGTATTTTTCTGTTCTCCTCCCCTGGCTCCAGTGACAGGGAAGGAGCAGCATCCCCTTTTCCTCTAAATTTGGAAAACTCAACTTCCAGGAAACAGGGGACTAAATACCTTCGGGAACTGGTAGGTTATCTTGGGTTCATAACGTCCATCTGACCTCTTCTTCAGTGACACCACCACCAGGTACTCAAAGAAAAACTGTCCAGCAGAATAGAGGACAGAGCTCCGCTCTCCCAGCTTCCCCTGCGGCACCCGTGAGGGGTTGTTTTCTGCAGCAGAGGCCTCCTCTTTTCCTTCTGTAGCAAAAAACCCCCAAAAACAGGGCAGAGTGAAATGAAAAGCCAGGAGGTATCCTGATGACAGGAGAGGAGATGCAGAGCTACCCATGAACCAGTCAAAGTGGCTGGAAGGAATTGGGACCTGGTGCAAAGGGTGGTTTGGTCCCTGACAGTGAACAGCTGGGGACATGCAGGCACAGGACACAGAAAGGAAAGAGAAATGGCTTTTATGAGGCTTTTGGAGAAAATCAAAGTGCTGTCAGACACCCAGACCCTGCTTTGCCCCATCCCAGGGTGGGCAGAGGAACACCCCAGGTGAAGCCGGCACGTGGGATGGCAGAGAGCACACGGTCTCTGCAGAAAGCATCAGCAAGAAGGTGTGGGAATGCTTTTATAGCAGTCAATTTTATTCCCTTAGGGAAAAAAACCAGCAAACACACAGCACAGATCTTGTTAGAGCACCTCCAAAGGCTCCAACAAGATGAATCCTAACCTCTCCCTGCCAGATGTCCTCAGTCCTGGGAACTGCTGATTGCAAATGAGGTACTCGAGGGTTTTCCCTAAACCACAGTTCCCAAACCAAAGCAATTCCTTGAGATTACATCCCATTTCTTGTTCGGCCGGTTGGGGAGGACAGCTGGGGAGTGTCAGCTGTCACAACCCGAAAAACTAGAATTAAGAGTGAAAAGAGCCCACGCCAACATCTCCAAGGGCCCTGGGATGATCATGGTGAGGCAGTGAGATCTGAGGGCTGGGAAAGGGAGGAGTTAAGTGCCGGCGGGAGGCTGCAGCCAGGCCATGCCATAGCATTTCCCTCTCCCAGCAGCCGCTTGCGAGTCTCTAAATCCCTGGTTCCTGGCACCGAAACTGTCCCGGGCTTGGTCTTGGCTCTGATTACGGCAGGGAGCTAGAACAGAAATGCTTGAGCTGTTCCTAGGAATAACAGGCAGGGAAACAAATGTGTTGGCTGGATGAACTAACTGACTCTTGCAATTTGTTCCTGCATCCCAGAGTTTGGCCCTGGGCTCTTTTGGTTGTGCTGCACCTTGGCAGGGCAAGGCATGGCTGTGGCTGGCTGCTCCCATTGTCGCTCTCCCCTGTGCGTGACATCCTCCTCTGAAAGCAATGCTGGTGGACACCCCACCACGTGTATCACTCTGGCTCTGTAGCCGCCTTCTTTAGTCTGGAAACACCTTTGCAGCCTTCGCTCCAGGTCATTGGGAGCCAATAGCTCATCTGAGGAGGTGACACTCACAGTCCCATCATGGGATGTCCCTTCCCAGGGACAAAACCACCTTTCCCAGCTCAGGGTGGGGAGATGTGTGAAGACACCCCCGTGTGCACCCTGAGGCTGCTCCACCTTTGCATGCAAAGTCCTTCCTCTTGGTAAGGTGAAATTCAACCCAAAGAGCTCCCTTCGCAGCAAGAGGAGGCCCAGGAGCATCCTGAGGATGAGACCGGCCTGCAGACACCTCTGATTTGTCCTCAGTGGGGATCACCCATGTGACAGCCTAACAAGGTGCTCTGGGCCAGGGAAAAAAGGTCAACAAGATGTGCTTTGCTTCTCCTGCTCCTCCTTGGGATGCTCCAGCAATGGCTTCAGTGGTCCAATCTCACCTATGGGGCTGGGGTAGGACGTTGTTGCTGGGGGGACCCCAGGGAACCAGGTTGTGCAGTGGGGAGGGCTGCTGGCATCCCCCATCCTCGCTGGATGCCGGCGTTGGTTGTTTTCCCATCGCAGATTGCCAGGGTAAGGTGAAAGTCCAGTTAAATCCTGCCTATCCAGTCCCATCCTGCATTTCAGAGAATACAAGATGCACTCTCAAGCAAGGGCTGGATTTGCATCATGTCCATGGCGTTTTCAGGCAGCCAAGTAAAACCCACCGCTCTGGGGAGGCTGGTCATGCTGGGCTGCGGGTCTGCCTCTTGCAGACAGACCCACGCGCCTGCCCAAAGAGAGACCCAGCGCAGCGAGCCCTGCCAAAAGTGCAGTGTCACCCAGCAATGCTCCCCTGCACTGTCTGGTTGCAAAGCCCTTGCTGGCAGAGTCTAAATCCCTCTGGGACGATAATACCCCATCCCTGAGCTGGAAGACGAGCTCCGGGTACATACGGGGCCTTGCACCATTGTGCAGCATTGGGCAGGTTTAATGTGGCATCAGAGGTCCCAGTGCTCCCCAAAACCAGCAGCATGTGCAGTTCCTCATGTGTCCTGAGGATGTAAGCCACTGTCACAAGAGCTTTGGCCAATGACTCTTCTGTAGCCCAAGCGGGGAAGACTTGGGGACTACCCTGCAGCCCCTCCAGCAGTGGGAGTATCCCCTGTGAGGAGGGGCATGAGCCAGGTGGCTGGGGTAAGGGGGCTCCTGCAGCTCCTGGATGGAAAGCGGCTGCCAGTGCTGTGGATTTTCACCCCTCCCTCCACTGGGCACAGAGAGGGCAAAGGCTGCTACAGTGCACGGAAATGGCACCGGGGCTGCCGGCATTAAAAGAAAAAGACATTTTGCTGCACAACCAGCTTCCCCAACCAGAGCGGGGTTTTCTTATCACAGCCAAGGGCTGTGCTCAGACCCATGTTGAGATGTGGCACGACCTGTTTCTTTCCTCCCAGAAAACTCCCGGGCTGCAGTGTGTCGAAATCTCCTGGCCTGGCACAACAGTTTGTGGTGGAGCTCTGCTTCCTGTGCCATGCAGCCACCCACCTGCCCCAGCAAAGAGGAAATGGCTTTTGCTTTATCAAACCTTTTCTGCTGAGCTTGGAAAGACATATATCGCACCCAGAGCAAGAGCCAGCCACCACAAAACAGACCTGAAGGGGAGGGGGGGCTTGCAGTGAGCCCCCCAAATCCACAGGTTGCCCCAACCTGCTCTATTGTGCCTTGAGGCATGGCAGGCCAGAAAACCCCGACAATCCATCCTCTATCTCAGAAAAGCTCACAAATCCCAAAGGACCGATTTCAGCACCGTCCTCTAAAGGCTCCGCAACACTGACCCGCCTCAGGGGCACTGTGCCCCCACGGATGCCCTCGATGCCATGCTCCGGCATCGCTGTGCTCGGTGAGCAAATGGCTGGGAAAGCTTTGGGGGATGTGGTAATGGGGAGCCTGGGGGTGGGGTAAACCCCCAGGGGATGGCGTAGACTCCTTTGGGACGGAGTTGGCTCCCAGGGGTTGGGGTGCAGCTCCCGGGACGGGCTGAACCCCCAGGGGCTGGGGTGTGCTCCTGGGAGATAGACTGCACTCCCGGGGCTGGGCTGAGCCCCTGAGGATGGAGCAAGCCCCCGGAGATGCGGTAAGACCCGGGGGCAGACGGCCCGAGCTGGGCTCCGCAGGGTGAGCGCGTACGGGCAGGGCTGGAGGGGACGGAGCCGGTGCCGGTGCCCGTACCGTCGGTCCCACCCGGCGTGGCCGCGCTGCGCTTTCCGGGAAAGTCCCCGCTCCGCCGGCAGTCGTCGGCTCCCGCAGCCGCGGCCCCGAGGCACCGGTACCAGTCCCAGCACCGACACCGACACCGGCACCTCCCGGAACCCGGCGCGGGGCTGTGCTCCCCGGCGTCCCCTCCCGACTCTCACCTCTGCGGCCGGAGCGCCGCAGGCTCCGTCGGAAGAAGTTGCCGATGGAGGCCATGGTGGCTCCCGGCGCGGAGCGGCCCCGGTGCGGCCCCGGTGCGGTGCGGCCCGGCGGGGAGAGCTCGGCTTCCGCCCGCTACGCTTTCGCTTTCCCGGGGGAGGAGGGACGGGACGGGACGGGGCGGAGAGGAGAGGAGAGGAGAGGAGAGGAGAGGAGAGGAGAGAGAGGAGGAGCGGG